CAACTCCTGTCGGAACAACTAAAATTCAAAAACCTTCCTCACGAGAAGTAAATACCCACAAGCAGTAGAAATCCATTAATTAATGCGTCTAAAGCTTATGTATTTTACTCCCAACAATGACATTGCAGATCAAATGAGATAAACAAATCACTGATTTCAAAATAACACAACAATGAACTATAATTCAAGAATTCTGTACACAACAAAATTATGTATGAAAACTGACTTCAAGCTTTATTTTTTTCCCAGGCACTTATAACCCATCCACCAAAGACCTGGTTTTTTTGTTAATGCGAAGACAATACTTCTGTATTTCCTGATGTGTTGCACTCACTGACAATCTAGCGGATTTTTCCAACTATGCACAGAAATGATTGTACATAAGTGAAAAGGATGTTTTATACTATTGGGATTAACATTTATCAAGTGTATGTATAATCTCCAGTGTACATGTTAAACATATTTTGCTATCGACTGTAAATTGTGACTGAATAATATGGTCCTATTTCTGTAACAATTTGATGATGCCTGTAAACTGGCGTCCCTCATGTACTGTACCATGAGAATCAATCTATTTATTTATTTAAATGAAATAAACATTTCTCTGATTTCCAAATAACACAACAATGAACTATAATTCAAGAATTCTGTACACAGCAAAATTATGTATGAAAACTGACTTCAAGCTTTATTTTTTTCCCAGGCACTTATAACCCATCCACCAAAGACCTGGTTTTTTTGTTAATGCGAAGACAATACTTCTGTATTTCCTGATGTGTTGCACTCACTGACAATCTAGCGGATTTTTCCAACTATGCACAGAAACGATTGTACATAAGTGAAAAGGATGTTTTATACTATTGGGATTAACATTTATCAAGTGTATGTATAATCTCCAGTGTACATGTTAAACATATTTTGCTATCGACTGTAAATTGTGACTGAATAATATGGTCCTATTTCTGTAACAATTTGATGATGCCTGTAAACTGGCGTCCCTCATGTACTGTACCATGAGAATCAATCTATTTATTTATTTAAATGAAATAAACATTTCTCTGATTTCCAAATAACACAACAATGAACTATAATTCAAGAATTCTGTACACAGTTAAATTATGTATGAAAACTGACTTCAAGCTTTATTTTTTTTCCCAGGCACTTATAACCCATCCATCGAAGACCTGGTTTTTTTGTTAATGCGAAGACAATACTTCTGTATTTCCTGATGCGTTGCACTCACTGACAATCTAGCGGATTTTTCCAACTATGCACAGAAACGATTGTACATAAGTGAAAAGGATGTTTTATACTACTGGGATTAACATTTATCAAGTGTATGTATAATCTCCAGTGTACATGTTAAACATATTTTGCTATCGACTGTAAATTGTGACTGAATAATATGGTCCTATTTCTGTAACAATTTGATGATGCCTGTAAACTGGCGTACCTCATGTACTGCATCATGAGAATAAATTTATTTATTTATTTATTCAGTGTTTTTATGGATATAAACTTGGTGGTGGAGGGAGTCCAGCTTACTTCTGAAATGGAAAACCAACAAGGTCAGTTGTCCATATTAGGCTGTGAAATACAGGTAGAAACAAAGTGGTGGGCTAGATAAAAGCATTTACAATAAATCAACACACTCTACTAAGTACTTTAACTTTAATTCACCCTATCTGGAATCGGTGAAGGTTTAGTTAAATGTCTATAAGATCCGGCCAGTAAAACAGACGATTTAAATAGTGGCATCAAACAAATAAATAATACCGCTAGGGAGTAACCAGTCGCCATAATGTGTTCCAAAATACATAGAGAACCAAAGAAAAAACAAGAGTAGCCGTGAAAATGACAAAATAATGTAGAACTCAAAGCCTCTGTGATACTGCCATATAAAGAAGGAACATCAGATTGTGGTAGATTAAATACAAAATTCACTTAATATATACAACACCAAAATAAAAAGGACAAAGTCACAACTTTTAAACAGTATACTACAATTTTTAGGTAGATACCTTATTGAAATTCACAGCAAATTGCAATAGGTTTAAGTTCAACTTCTATAATTTGAATCATATAATCCACCGGTGCAGCAAGTAGGTAGACTTCAGATATTTTTTACTCGACTGCGGACGTCACTAAGCGGGTGATTAGGTGACCTCTGGATGAGGGAATGATGGTTTCTAAATATTCCTAAGTAAGCACTGAAGAATTAGTACTGGCACTTAAGCAGTTGTACAGAGTAATAAGACGCAGCGGCGACCGAGTTTATATTTCAAAGTGACAAAAAGTTATGTCGTCATACAAAGGAGTCAATTAAAACAGAGGAAATACAAAGTGTGTCACTTTTAAAACCCGAGTAAAAAGTGAACAATATCATCACTCTTGGCTCCGTAGGAGCCTTTACGTAGGATTATAATTATTTTAATTATTATTATAGTTATAATTGACACTGGAATTAGGGTAGAATTTAAACCAACCAACCAGCTCCCTCAGAGATATAATTTGTTCGCTCAAGGACCCAATAAATCCAAATAAAAAAATGATGCAAGTTGCCAAACACCATGTAATGACTCTGAGGTTAATTACATCGGTAAAACTAATAGTTCGTGGTCAGTTACATAATTGGAACAATAAAATTTAGGTAGACCTAGAATAATTGACTCTGCTAAGTGAAAAACCTAGAAAAAGTCTCAGCCATAGAGCTGAATTCACTTGCATGCAATCAAACAACAGGTTAAGTGGGACAAGATGAGAGCATTAAGTGTAATATAGTTAGGTGCAGAGAGACGGAGAGGCTAATCCCTGAAGTTCTGTTTAATAATTCAACACCACACGTGTAGTGGAAACGACCCAGCGCCTACATCGTCTGTGAGGAAAGTGGGAACAAACGTGGAGTGTAGGAGGGAGATGGAAAATACATAAATAAAGAAGAAATTAGGGAGCCGTGCGACAAACTGATATGACTATGAGCAGACAATTCTGCTCGAAACATCACACAGTTATTATTATATTATTATTATTGTATCCTTTAGTTCCTAGAGGAACATAGGGCTTCAGCTGCGCACCTCCATTGACTTCGGCCGAAAATAAATACAGCCACTGCATCAGTCAGAAAGGAGATTCAAAAGCAGTTGCAGGATGGTTTCCTTTTCAATACTTCGGGCTTTCGGTCAAAGTCTCAGTCATATTTTCCCTGGCCGTAATTATACGCCATTCGTCAAATAAGGGGGTGGCTATTCCCATCCTTTTCCTAGCCCCCCCCCAAATATTTAATGTCTATTTTACAAGACTGTGTAAACCTTGTTTTTTCTTGTGGCTTGATTCTTTTTGTCTGTAATGGTTCTAGATTTTTGGCAGATTCTATCTCGTCAACCGCTACAGTATTATTTTAAACAATAGGAGGATATACATAAGTTTATTTCGATGAGAATATATACTCTATACAAGGTTAGCAGCGTTAGTGGAACTTGGAATACTCCTTTTCCCAATGTCATAGCAACTGCACAATAATTCTAAACTAATATACACACTCGCAGCCTGCAAGCGTAAATCCAAGACTTAGGTAAATGACATAAGGATAGAACTTGGGCGCTGTCGTAGAGTATAACTCCATTGTGGACAAAATTTTATTTTGATAAAATCACAGCGCTATACAGTAGTGCTTACTGATGACGTTTCGAGTACGAGTTATTGCTCATAATCATATCGAGCTACTCACACAACTTTCGTGCTTCATACATGAGTAAAGACTGATAATTAGATATTTGGATGAAATCAATATTAGATAAGTACCAGATGATTCCGAAGAGACTTGTGTTAAAACCGAAATTGTCGAACATACTGTAAAATGTACTGTTCTGTTACGCAAAATGCGTCAAGTGATTATCGGACAAGCCTACAATTATGAGTTTATCCGGCATCCAAATAGCAAGAAAACAGTGGCGCGATAAAATGACCTCCAATTACCGAAAATATGCTTTCGAACAGAAATATACCATAGACCATGATGAACTACAAACGGTCTAATTTGAGCAAAATGTAAAATTGTATATAAAGTACAACTAGCATAAAATAGAGGGGTATTAAAGATGAGTATTTGTGGTACCAGTACAATCCCTTTGAACTAGTCTGCCTTCTATATATATCTGCATGAAGCTATTGTTTTTTTGACATTCTAGCCCTTTCTACAGTCTACTGACAGATGGAACGTTGGCCACGTTGGACAGTGAATCCCATCGCTGGCAAAGAGAAGCAATTGGTCCTTGTCTCTGCCTTTCGAAGAACAGTTATGTTAGGGTTACGCTGACAGAGACCATAGTATGATTGTGGTATTATATCTAGGGTCTGGTGTACTGGATAACGCATTATTTTGTATACCATGGTGTGGTTGTTTATCGTTCTTAGGTAGCAAGGGGTATACATATCTATCTGCCGTAATCACTCATCACACTGCATTTCACTCCAGTGGCAGTTTGAGCAGCCCTTCTTTGTAAGAGCTGATGGGTTATTCTCATCTATTTTTAGGAGTGCTGACACAGTGAAGTTGTGGACTTTTAAACATGGATGTGTGAAAGTTTTGTGAGGCTACTTGAAGAGTCCGGGTGTAAGTGTCATCAGCTGAACACGCACGAGGGAAGTCTTTTGAGACACCCGTTTCTATTATTGATTGATTCACGTGTCTTTATACACTGTCAAGTGAATGCCTAGCACTGATTTATCTCTCCACGATGTTCTAGCACGAGATAGTATGGCCAAGTGCTGACAATTATGCTGGATGTAGGATTCACTCATTCCAATCAAAGAAACTGAATGCATTTGTGAAGCTATTAGTCTATGAAAAAGATGAAAGCAATCATGATTTGTTTTAAAAAGCTGGGTTGTTTTGTATTGTGTCGCGGACCAGTTCGGTTTGTTTAATTACTTCAAAATCAATAAACTGGATTGTAATATTTTTTGAATGTCGGCCGTCTTCCATTGTTTTCCGTACTTTAATGCGTCATTTGCGAGGCTCTGGAGGCTATCCGCGTGATCATAGAGGTAACTAACTGAAGACTTTTATGCTTGATTGCAATGTTTGCTTGTGGATTCGAAAATTCCTAATATGACCTTGTGCTTTTATTTTAGTGTCTTCTCGTCCGTGCTGCTTTTCTCAACCCAGGGGTTTAATACCAAGACATTTAGGGATTTGGTATCCTCGACCATCACTTTCTCGACCACCTGGAATAAGCCAAGATGTTCGACTAGGTAACTTTCCCGGTTTTCCTCGTCTACCAGTACTAACACAGCTGTCTGTGCGGCCTCAACATTCAAGTCGGATTCGATCGAAAAGAGAGCAACCGTTTGGTCGAAGTCGGTTTCTTCACAGGCGGAAACAAAGTGTTCCGGCCTCAAAGAGTGTTCTGAACCCAAGTGACCCTTTGAACCTGCATGATCTTATGAAGGAAACGGAGCGTCGTCGAGTGGAAGGTTTGTCTCCCTTACGCGGTGACTCACGAATGAATACACCTGCAGTAAGTGTAGCAGGTGACTTTGATTGCGGTAGTCCTCAAAACCAGACGCTGCAGCTGTCAGATGCATCTAAAGCTCCAGCATCTCCTCTGCTGAACACTCGAAAGTCAGAATTTTCCTCGAAAGGACATATTCATCGTCTGCTTCGTAGACGTCCTGTTCGGAGTTCGAAATTCTATACTGTTAGCCGTCGTACCAGAGGATTTGTCCCTACAACAGGGAACTATGTTGATTATTACCTTCGTCGTGATCCAAATGATAGAATTCCCTATTTAATGCCTGAATGGTTTGTGGGTAAGGATGTAGCAGACTATGGATGTCACAATGGGACTCTAACGTTTAGTGTACTTGAAAGGTTTCCAGATGTTGCAAAAATTGACGCCTTTGACTGTGATGCAGAATTAATAGCTAATGCTCAGAGTATGCAAAGGGAGAGATTACGATGGGATACCGGGTCGAATGTGAGGTATGAAAAAATCAACTTCCAAGTAGCAAATTGGATTGATGAATCTACTGCAAACGATGAACCTGAGTATGATACAATAATGGCTTTCAGTGTTACAAAATGGATTCATTTAAACCATGGTGATCCTGGTTTAATGCGATTCTTCAGACGCGCCTTCAATCGCCTTAAACCTGGTGGACACTTAATTCTAGAACCACAACCTAAATCTTCCTACAAAAGAACACGGTTGACGGTAAGTTCATATTTTACATAAGTTATTTTACAGGCTAAACACAGGTCTATATATGAATCTCTAAAAATCAATCCATCAAATCTGGAACCCTTATTGGTTGACTTGGGTTTCTCTTACTTTGATACTATCAAGGCACCTAGACCTAATGAACCATTTCGGCGGAAAATTATTTTATGTTCAAAATCTTATGGTGCGACTCCTGCTTCTATCCGAAATGATCTTCGGTCTGAAGTACAGAATTGGGAAGCTTTTAATTCACCGCATAGTCCACATGGACGTGAACCTCCACCGGTGTGTTATCATCCTCAAACACCTATCTACACCATTGATACTCCTCCTGTTACAAACAGGAGTTCTCCTGGCAATAGAACTGCAGGTGTTTCTAGTACAGTTTTAAGTCCATCTGTTACTTCTAATGTTTCTCCACCCGTTGAAAGCGTCAGCTCATTACCAACTCCTAACTGTGAACCTGATTCAACTTCAGCGTGATAATAACCAGCAGCTTTGTACATAATCAACATAAAACAGTTGAAATGCATATAAAAATTCTTGTACAGTTATCTTGTATAATATATTTAAAAGCATTACTTATATATATATCTGTATGTGCTTACCAGATTATTTGCTAAAGCAAGTTTGATTCGTTTTTCCATCTTTTTTCTCATTGTAATCTGGGTTTACTAATGTGGGTCGCAGTGAGCTGTATACTTTCTGTGTTACTGTTTTATGCACTTGAGTAACATACTTTGTTGGGTTTACAGTCTGGTGAGAATTGAGTTGTATTTTATTTTGTAGTAAACGGTTGTCTACAGAACTTTACTGGGTTTGTTGCTAATGTTGTTTTAGTTACATCCATGCAATTGTATTTTAATAGGCAGCCTGTAGGTATGTGTATTTATACGTTTTAAATCACTTGAATGAATGAATCAGGTGTCAGTTCGATTCGATTGTATTTGAGTTTTATTAAATACTGCTAGCATTAATTGAATCCAGATTACAAGTTTGTGATAATTTAGTTATCCAAAAAGTAACTGATGTTATGTTCTTTTACTGTAAATTTCAAATAAAGAAGTATGTTTTCATTGTTAGAATGCTTTCTTTTTTTAAAATTTAACTGGTTACTTGCACCCCCCCCCCAAAGACGGGTATTTTAATGAACTGGCTGTCTGTCGGATTTGGTCGCTTCAGTTGTACGAGAAGTTGTATAATTCAAGGCACATAGAGATGTTTACATGATACGAAGCTAGGTGTGATGTGGATTTTTTAAGATAATCATTTTATAGATTTTAGCATCATTAGTATAAATCTTATTTTTATTTGATGGGAAAAGCTTGCAGCACTACTCACAAATACTTTTTCAACTCTTCATTAGGACAGGTGTACACGTAGTAATAATAAAATGTTTTGAGTAGGGGCATTCCACATGTGGCAACTCGAACTGCTGCACTTCGGTGCCAAGTTCTATGTTGAAACCAGACAGACAGACATGTCCTGAGTCGCTTTTTTTAAGAATAATGAGCCAAAGAATTTGTAAAAGTGCACGTTTGTTACCTGTGATTTATTTATAGTGTCACAATTGTATATTTAACAACCAATTGACACGAATGTCTTCTGTCAGGTGTTAACATCTTGCACGAATATGTGCTGGGTGGGACTCCTGATTTATGAAAGTAAATTTTGCGTGATACTGCTTGCGTAGTAAGCTATATGTCATATTTAGATTATCTTAAGTAGATCTAATGAATTAGTTGCTTACTAAGTCGTAACACTGATACAGGGGTCTAGTTTGACATTTGCTATCTTGTGTCATTTTTGAACCACATAATATCTGCTTACCCATTAGAAGGTATATTTACTGCAGAGTATTTTCTCCTGTTCTCATTTACGGTTGATGTGGGTGGGTGCTGAGGACAACCAAAGTGGGTTTTGCTGTAGAGACGTTTTCCCTCAATTGCTCACGATGGAGGGTCAACATTAGTTGTAATGACGTGTATAGTTTGCAATTAGTAGTGTTCTCTGAGCTGGTTGGTTTAGTTGCGGAGCTCTCGTCGTCCTTCTGGACAACATCCCCGTTCAACGCAATTTTTAGCATAAAGTGAACTGATGCAGATTTTCCATGATTGATGAAATTGCTTCTCCCGGTAACCATCTTTACATATGTATTGATCGTTTTTTTATTGACTTGGCTTTTAAACTTTCTCGTTACATGATTTACCTTTTATTAGTCGGTATATTTGGTCTATATTAACCTGTTTTTTAATCGCATTTGAGTATCAAGCTTCTAGGAAGTCCATGGTGGCACTTTTGGTGTTTCGTCTGTCTAAGATTTCGGTATTATCCCAATCGAACTGATTTCCATAATTATCTATATGCATTGATATGAAAGAATATATATCGTGTCTTTTCACAGCTGATTTGTGTTCCTGGACTCTGCTTCGAAAGGGACGTCCACTTTGACCGATGTAATGTCTGTTACAATTCGTACAATTTATTCTGTAAATGGTATTAATTTTATCTCCTTTTTCTGTTGATCTGATCTTTCGTTTTGCACAATATCGAATTAACCAATTTGACTGGCTTGTGTGCTATACCTATATCAAACGGTTTCAATAGTCTGGCTGTTATTTCAGAGATATTTTTCGTGTATGGCAGGATGAATTTTCTTTTGGTCTTTGATGATGGTTCCTTGTTGGTGTTGTGATTCGATTTTAAACACCTTTTGATGAAAAAACGAATACTTGAAAATTACTGTATATTAGTTGAATAGAAACCATGTTAGAGGGAAGCTAGAGCCTAGACCAGGTGGAGTCATCAAAAACCAATGCATAAAGTAGCTAATCATTTGCTACCAACATATATAAAGTATTTCATTACGTATTCCGTGTGAAAAGTGTAGTCTACGAAAACATAGATTTACACTTTGAATTTCTGCAAATACTGTAGTTCACCAAAAAGACAATATGATAAAATACTGTGAACAATCAGACTATATCATGTGTTAGATAGATCATTCCTGAATTTGACAGAGTCAGGTGTGTTACAATAAAGGAAAACTAGCTTAAGCTCACCCACCTATAGCTGAGTTGAAGAGCCACTTAGGCAGTCTGACTGTCAACGCTTTATCATCTTGGGCATCAACTATTCATTTTCTCAGCCAACTTCCATTCATTTTAGAGTGATACTAGTTAGTTAGAACATTTCAAGAGTTTGACCACGGATTGATATCAGTTAGAGAACCAGCACTGGAGAGTTGTTTCATCCTAGTTCGGAAATCATCGTCAGTACGCACCTTCTGCCAGGGGTCGAATCCAGCACACTCCACTTACGAACTGATGGTGAGCTCGTATACCATTCAGCTACTGGGACCCGATTTAATGGCCAGCCCATGAATTCTAACTTCTACAAATTCGTGATTTAGCGCGACTGGCACCAACCAATGTCGTCAGCGGGACACCCATCATCACACGTGACATCTGGATGAACCTCACTGGTCACGACGTCTCACTTGAACTGCAGGAAACTCCATCCTGTAGCAAGTCAGTTATTAGCGAGCATCAGATTAACATCAAGAGTTGTAACCCGATGGTCCTGGGTTCGAACCCTGTCGGTTGGTGAGTACTGCCGATGATTCCCAAACTAAGATGAAACAGCTGTCCAATACTCCCTGTGGCTGGTTTTCAATGGTTCTCTAAATGGTATCAATCCGTGGTCAAACTCGTGAAAACAAATTTAATCCTTACAAATCAATTCTTAAAAACATTTCACTTTGACATCTGATTGTTGGTGTTGTGTTTCAGTTAACATGAGTAGGAATAACTTCACTTGAAGTGAAATGACAGACGAAGCTAAACTATATATACCTGAATTTCAGTGTACAATTGAGCAGACATACAGTAAGTATAGATTGTTTTGACTAGTTAACTATCTTAATTCAAGTAGATTATCAGTTGTCGTTAAAGCTTATTTTCGATTTTCATCACGAACTGGTTCTAGTTAGACAATCATTGAAAACTAGGAAGTATTGAACAGTTAGTTCGTCCTCGTTTAGGACTCTTCATCAGTGCGTTCTCATGACACTATCCCAGGGATTGAACCTAGGATATTCAGATTGTAAAGCGACCTCAATACAAGAGTGAAGCAAATGTTCAGTACTTACTGGTTTTCTAACTAAAGTCAGTTAGCTAGTTAATGGCCACTCTTGAAATTAATCAAATCTGTGTAAACCGATAGTTGAAATATTTTTTTTATTTTAATAATCCGTAGAAAGCTTTGTCAAACCAAACTATAGAAAATTAATCTGATGCCCGCTAGTGCCTTGCTACGGGATGGAGTTTCCTGAGGTTCTAGTGAGAAGTCGTCACCAGTGACGTCCATCCAGATGTCTCACGTGTGAGGATGGGTGTCCCACCGATAACATTGGTTGGTACCAGTCGTGCTAAATCACGAATTCGTAGAAGTTAGAATTCATGCACTAGCCATTGAGGAGTCGGATCCTAGTGGCTGAATTGTATACGAGCTCACCAGCCTCGTGAGTCGAGTGTACCGGGTTCGACCCCTGGCAGTGGGTGGGTACTGGCGAAGATTCCCAAACTTAGATGAAACACCAGTCTAGTACTTAAGTGCTGGTTATCAATCTTTCCTTAACTGATATCAATCCGCGATCAACTCGTAAAAACAAAACTAACCCTTACAAAGCCTCATGATGGTCGGGGGTGGGTGCCTTGCGCTGCGTGTTGGCCACCCCTCCGTACACCTCTTGAAATGCTCCCATATGACCGGGCGTCTTACATAGCCTCTCCTGAGGAAGTCCTACTCACTGCCTTCACGTGGCGGAGGTGTTTTTCACCGAAGTGAGAGGGCAAAAGCGGATGCCCGGCGCTCTTCACCGGGTTGACTGTCCATTGGATGACAATCTAGGGGAGATGGCTAAACCCTGATTCCAAACCTCCAACGACTGGCGTATGAAGCTCACCGGCAGACGTATGGACAAAGGGCTTATTCGATGCCCTGGATGTCTGGCCCCATTCAAAAAGGCGTATGAACCGGGCTCCGGTCACCGGCTGCCAATGGATAGTGGACTTCCTACTCCACTCCTGCTGCCTTGTAGGTCACACTTGGTTGTGTAAAGGCTAGAGCTGCACTCTCAAACAAAAGGCCGAGCGATGCTGGGGACATCACTCGTACCTAATTCCCATGAAACTTCATGAACTCTCTCAACCAAATGCCAGTACTGGTCCAACAACGTCGCCTTCGGTGGTTTGGCCATGTTCTGCGCTGACCAGATGACGATCTGGTCAAATCAGTTTTAAATCCCTCGCCATTTCCATCTTGGCGATGTTGCAGGGGTGGACAGCTGAAAACATGGCTTGGTACAGTCAAGGCTGATATGGAGTGCCTGGGCTGGGGCTACAAACCGTCTACGGACTCCGTCTGTGGAACAAGAATTGAATAACCCTGTCGCAAAACCTTGCATCAGATCGCCGCGCCTG